ATCATGTATAACCCTCCCCTTTTCTGATGTAGCAATGATGTAGTGAAGATGCTTAATGAACTGTATGCTGGGATAAGATAGGAACTTTTAAAAGTCCTTGTCACCCCATCCTCAGGGTTCAAAACTCCTCTTTGAACCTGTTGCGCAATAAACTTTGGTCTACAGATATTTGCTCCTGTTGGTGGCTGGACTCCTTCCTTTATTCTGCAGGGACCCGCGGGCAGACAAGCTGGGTGAATGAGCAGCCTCACACCTTAGATTTTCGTAACAGATGGCTATTGCAGGAATGCAACACACAAAAACATCTCTCACCGACTTTGAGAAATCTCCTACAAAGCAAGAGCCACACAGGCATTGGCCTGTTGGGTTTTTCCCTGCTTGGGCCAAGCAGCTAAGATTTGGGAAAGGCATAGACTTCCGAGTAACACATTCAGAAGTCAGAGCCGCACTGGCATGCAAATTTGCATCCTTAACTAAAGAGCAACTTATACAAAATGAGGTGGCGTAAGGAAACATTATTCAGAATGTTATCACAGGGTTGAAGTTTCTTCTCATTAATAGATTACTTTATGGCCTACCGATGCTGTGGCACAGATGGCTCTCAATATATTATTTCTGGACACTGGAGCAGCAGGCAAGAAAGGAAGTGGAACCATAGAATCACAGAATCATAGAGCTGAAAGGGACCTCGAAGGGTCCTTGGGGTGAAGGAATTGCAACTAAAGGATCCTTGGCAGGTGGGCAGCAAACCTCTCTTTTAAAGATTTCCAATGAACTTCCTGAGGTCATCCATGGCACTCTCAAATGGCTCTTACCCTCAGAAAGCTCCTCCTAACATTTAGTCGGAATCTCTTTCCTTGCCATTTGAGTCCATTGGTTCAGTTCCTCCCCTCTGGAGTGGTAGAAAACAAGCTTGCTCCATCTTCTGTGTGAGAAGCCTTCAGACAGTTGAAGATGACGAGCAAGTGCATGATGGGTTTGGAACAGAACCGTTTATTTTAATGTGCACCTGCCTTGTTTCATGTAACGTGGGAGGGCTGATTTTTACAACAAAAGGGGCAATGAGGAGGGGGCACAAATTCTTCCCCAACTATGGTTCACACTCAGGTCTTCCCTTTCCCAGGACTGCCAAGGAGTCAGTGTTTGAGAATGGCTATCTATCATCTCTGTTTTTCTTTCACTGTTAATTTTTAAGCTGGTTTTATGGCAGGATATAACTGTATTTAATTGTTACTCTTTTCCCCCCCTGAGCCTCCTTGAGTGGTTCCAGAGTAGGAGGATGTAAGGGGGGAGAGAGAGAGCAGAAAGGATATACAGCCAGTTTGGTGTAGTGCCTAGAGTGTCAGACTTGGACCTGGGAGACCAGGGTTCAAATCCCTACTCAGCCAGGAAGCTCAGTAGGTGATACTGGGCAACTCATTGCCTCTCAGCCCAACCTACCTCACAGGGTTGTTGTGGAGATTCAATAAGGAGGGCTGAACAATGTGTGCCCTTGGAGAGAAAAATGGGATATAAATCAAATAAATAAATAAAACCTATGGATAGACTTAGAAGCAATGCGGTTTGGGTGGTGAGAGAAGGATCTTCAGTCCTTTCCTGTTGGGGGACATTTTTCCTGGTTTGTTTGTCTGTTTGCTTGTTTTAAACCAGAGCGCACCACCTCCCCATTTAATATGGGATGGGGCAAACCTAGGCTTCAGGTAGCAAACACTGCACCCATCTCGGGTTCTGGTGGCACCTGGGCGCAGGGCTTGAGACACAAGGTTCTCTGCTGCCTTAAAATCTAATCAAGATCAGCCGCATGACGTGATAATCTGGAGTCTGGTGAGCTCCCTGCGTAGCAAAGGCTCTGATCCCATTAGCACTCATTAAGGGACAGTTGCTTGCCCTGGCTACCTGCTGTTGCAAATAAACACCCTGCGCACACACCCAACACTTGCTCTAAGCTCCTCTGCAGTTCTGCCTGCCATTAGACCCATCTGCACATACTGTGGATCTCTCCCTGCCCTCTGCCCTGCTTGTTGAAAAGGGTACCAGCCAGTGGCGGAGCAAGCCGACTGGGTGCCCGGGTGGAGCGGGGGGCGGGGCCAGCGGCACGTGGGGGCTGCAGGGGCGGGGCCAGCCACCGGTGGGGCTCCGAGGAGTCTGCCTGCCTCCTCCCCCTCAGCTGCCCTACAGCTGAGATGGGGGCAGCAGGCGGACCTTTTTGGCAGCAGAGCCTGCGTGTGCCCAAGCCACCACGTCACTCCCAGGAGAGAAGCGTGGGTCGGGCGCACTGCAGCCCCATGGTGAGTGCCGCCCAGGATCTGTCACCCACCTTAGTGGTGGCACCCAGGGCAGAGCGCACCCCTGTTGCTCCGCCCCTTGTACCAGCCACCACAGCAAGCCAGGAGGGATGCTGAGTGACCAGAGAAGCCCCCTCCCCTGGCTCACATCCTCTGCCAGTGGCGTAGAGGGCAGGGGCAGGGGCAGTTGCCACTGGCACAAAATTTGTTAGGGGTGCAAAATTTGAATACCTGGTGCTGCCTCAATACAGCTGTGAGCTTCCATCACTGGGCTCCACTGAAAACAGCTTCTCCGCGTGAACCAGGAAGTGACCTCTCCATTTAACAGAATGGTTCTTCTTTTCTTATCTCCGTGGGTGATACAGTTGAATGCTCATGTGGACTCTGTCCATTTCCCTCCCTCCCACCACCACCCCCCTCCGCATGGCCCTGGGCGCTGGCAATCCACGCTACACCACTGTCCTCTGCCACTGATGGGCTGCAAAGGAGGACCCCTCTCTCAGATGCCAAGCAAGCAACAGACAAGTGGATATGGGACGATGCAGCCGTGTAGGGAACCCCAGCCTTAATATTTCCACCCAGACATTGCTGGATGAGAACCTAAGAGAACCTTGATGGGAATGGGGTGGTTTGGACTTCCACAAAGCAGACAGGTTACAATGAGGGTGAACTAACTAATTACAACCAAATAATAAGGGGAAAGGCTATTGAGGAAGTGGGAAGGGGGTGGAGGCTATTGATGGCAACTAGCCATGACTGATAAGCTGCGCCTTCATAGTCGGAGGCAGAAATGCTTCCGAATACCAGTTTCTGGAAGCCATAGGAAAGGAAGAGTGCTGTTGAGCTCAGATCCTGATTGCGGGCTTCCCAGCAGAGACATCTGGTTGGCCACTGTGAAAACAGGGTGCTAGACAAGATGGATCATAGGCCTGATCCAGCAGGATCTTCTTAGGTCCTAACGAATACAGGAACCACAGCAAGGGGGTGAATCAGCCAAGTTCCTCCACATGCGCACTGAGGCACCCCAGAAACATACTGTGAAAGTTCAGCTCAGCTGACATTTGAAGGCGACCCTCCGCAATCGACACTTCCTGAAGCGCTACAGAAAGCGAAACACAGCCACCCTTTGAAATTTGCACTTCTCCAAATTTCATGGCGCTCCAAATGATGTATATTATGTCAGGAGCAGGTGTGTTGAAAAGCAGCGTACAGAACTGCATTACGTTAGGGGAAACGGCTTGCACAAATATATCCATTTTGACAGATCCATCCACTCCTCCCAAGGAGCAGAGCCACGCCTAGAGTCTTGCTCCAATGCCGCATGAGGCACGGAAGGCGATCTGTCACGCTGAGTGACACACGACTCTCTCGTGCAAAACAGACAAAGGCTCAGACATGCACGAGAGGATGGCATGCCTCATGTCTGCCTCCTTGCCCGGACATCCCTGACACACTCACAGCCGCATCTGGGCACGGACGGCAAACAACTCGTTTCCTCCTGACACAAGCCGGACCGCCCCTCTGCTATGCTGTGCCATCAACACAAACAAACACATGCTGCAGGAAAATCTCAGCAGCGTCAGGCTGCCAAAGGAAGCAAGAAGAAGTATGGGAAGGCTGAAAACAGGACCTGGGCAGCAGTAGTGAAGCCAGGCACCTCTTGCCATGTCTTTACTTGGTATCTCGATTTGCAGACTGCCCTCCATCACTGAGAATGATCCCAGGGCCAAGAGCAGCCTCTGGCCCATGGGAATCGTGTTGCGCCTCCAGCCCTGCAATGGTGCTTACCAGATTTTTTTTTGGGGGGTGCACTAGCCAAAGCACCAGACTAGCTACTGGAATGCGCCCGAAAAGGCCTAACCTAACTGCTGCCCCCCTACTGCCCTGTTGGGAGGGTGGCAGTGCAAGACCATTACTCCTGCCCAGGGTCAGTTTCCAGAATATCATAAAACCAAAATGTATATTTGTCAGAAGTCGCTTTTGGGAACTCCCTGCTGGGTACAGCCAGGTGCCTTTGCTGTACCTAAGGCAGCAGGCAGCACACAGATCACAGAGTCACAGTCTTCCCTGCAACAGGGAGATGGATTGCATTTCTACTTAAATTATAGTGATCATTTCTAAATTTGCATCTAGGCATATGTGTATAGATTCATAAGAAATCAATTGTTTAGTGTGGCTTTCATGATGTGCTTAACTATCTTCTTTTTTTTAATGAGTTCCCTACTTTTGATTGTTTACATCCTTGGCATCGCTCCTATGTTTCGTTGATTTCAATTGATGTTCTTCTTGTTTGCACCTTTTAAAAAGTTTTTTATTTATACTTTTCAAATTTATACATTTCATTAGTTTTACAATCAATTTCACATTTCAAAATTTGACTTCCTTCCCCTTCTTTCTGCAGTTCCTTAAATTTTATTTTTCAATATCTTTGGCATATCCAAATTCATTTGACTTGCTCAATTATCTACTGTAAATATATACTGTTATAAGACTGCAGGTTATCTGGTTTGCACTTTTGACTCTGCATTGCTATTGATAAACAAATTCTTGCTGACAAACGAACAAGAAACCTTGCTTGGTTTTATATTGCTCGGGTTTTTGCCTTAGCACAAACATTATGAGATGGAGCAGTGCAAGTTGCAGACCCACAGGCTTCCTCGATCTCAAGGGCAGGGTCCCTACTCCTGTCCACCCCATCCCTTTCCCCCTACTCACCAGGATGTCGCTACTCTCCCTCCGAAGCGACAACTGCTCCAGGCGGTCGAGAGAGGGGGTGCTGGGGAAGGACGGGCCGGTGCCCGCAGGACGGAGGATAGGCAAACTCAGCGACTTGAAGTCCTTCACCGCCTGCTCCACTTTGAGTTCATCCCCAGGTTTGGCTGCAATGCAGAAGAGGAGGCCATGGGACAGGTCTGGAGGGCAATTCTGGACAGAATGGTCCCTCTCATATTGCTAAAGAGGCTTTCCCAACCTAGAGCCCTCTGGATGGGTTGGACGGCATCTCCCATCAGCCTCAGGAGAGACACGCAGCAGCCTACCTTTCACACGAAGGTAATGTCCTCCAAAGCGGTAGGCCTCAAAGTTGAGTGAAAGGGGGGTGTTGGACTGGTCAAGGTAAATGTCCACTTTAGACAGGTCGATTCCCTTCCTCTCAAAAACCGGCAGCAGCACTTCACTGGGTTTTAAAAGAAAAGAGAGAGAACCAGTAAGTGGCGCTGCCTGTTAATCGATGTGTTGGAACCAGCTTGGGCTCAGAATGCCTGGAAGGCCGTAGCTCCCAATGCAAACCTGCCTGGGTGCTGAGATCATCGGGGCAGCACCTTCTCTTGGTCCCATCAACACTAGAGGCACGGCCAGCAGTGAGATGAGAAAGTGCCTTTTTTGTGGTGGCTCCTAAATTGTGGGATTCCCTTCCTCAAAGAGGGCGGACTGGCTCCCTCCTTGTTATCCTTCTGCTGACAGGCTACAAAGACCTTCCTGTTCAGATAGGTGTGACCTTGGGGCCAGTTACTCACTCTCAGCTTAACCTACCTTTGTTTCCCCACACCCATTCCCAAGCAGAGCGGTCAGAACTTCAGCAACAGAACTAGTCAGGCCTTTGCGCTCCGAACATCAGGTGTTGGGAGCAGGTTAGGATCCTGCACTGAACTGATGGGCTCAGGATTGCTGGAGCTGCTTCCAGGTGAGGCCTTGGACCCACAGCTTTCCTGGGCTCCCAAACACGAGTGAAGCCCCTGCCCAGCTTGCACCCCAGGCTAAGCTGCTCTCTGGCCTCCTTACCCCAGGGACTTCTTCTTCATGGCTGGCACGATCTCCGTCTCAATGTCCACGTTCAGATCAAACTTCAAGGTGAAGCATTCCTTGCTAGGGTCCTGCGGGAGAAACGCAGGAGCATGTCGGCCAGAATTCAAAACAGTCGCCAGGCTCTGTCCCCTCCAATTTCTTAGCGCATGGAGGAGGACCACCAGGGCACATTCCCACCCCTCTGTAGGGCATCCAAATAGGCCTCTGTGACTTCTAGGGTCCTGCGCAGGATGAGGCCAGACCCAGTTCCCAGGGTTTCGGAGTGAAAGCAAGGTGCAGTCATGGAATGAGCGCAAGTGGCCTCCTTACGTCAGTGTGCCTCCTGCGAGCCTTCTTCTTTGGCAGCTTCAAGGCTGAGCTCTTCCTGTCCCTGAAACAGACCAGCCAGCAGACAGAAGGGAGTTAGAAGGTCCCCCTCATATTGCCCCATAACAGCAAGGGAAGGCAGGCACAGCTTTCCCCTCTGATGCAGGAAACGTTCTGCCCCACCAGCTCCCATACGGTTTATAAACGCCTTTGCAGAATTCCTGTCAAGCTGACCAACGTGTCAAGTGGGGGGGGGGGTTGCAATACAGCTCGTGGTGGAATATACCAGGGTTTTTGTTAAAAGTAGATTTTCAAATGGCACAAATTCCCCACCAGACACCCCACACTAAGAAAAAAAGCCTAATGAACCCAAATTGCAAGCGCCTTCTGTTTCGACTTTTAAAATGCCTGCTGGAATAGTTTTTGTTCAGTCCAGCAATTGAGATGCGCCCTTCCACAACAGTTAACTGATTTCTGATTTCAACTTTTTAAGTATGATTTTTATGGTGTGGGGTTTTGTTTTGGTTTTTTGTATAATTGTAAATCGCCCTGCTATTTCCCCCCCCCTTTTTTTTTAATGAATCGCTAGCAGTATGTATGCGTGTAAAATAGTGCACCAGGAAAAAGGCTAGACTGGAGCCTTCCTCCCTGAGACACTAGTTTTCTAAGTGAGGGGAGCTCTCCTGATGTGAGCACCTCCTGGGCCGGCCAGCCCTCCCCTCCACTCACCCTTTCCCATCAATCAGCCCTTCATCCTCCTCCTCAACATCTGAAGCAGGGCTGGTGCGTGGTGGGCACGACCGTGTGGAGACGTTCCGGGCCAGGATAGAACCTAGAAGGGAGAAAAGCTCTGAAGACATAGCCCATGAAGGATCCAGCCCTCACTGTGTTGCCCGTGGGGGGCGGGGGGAGCCCACTGAAGAGCACACCAGCTAAGCTGTTTGGAAAGAGATCATAGAATTGCAGAGTTGGAAGGTACCCCCCCCCGGGTCATCCCCTGCAATAGCAATAATAATAATAATAATAATAATAATTTATTTATACCCCGCCCATCTGGCTGAGTTTCCCTAGGCATTCTGGGCAGCTCCCAATCAAGTGTTAAAAACAATACAGCATTAAATATTAAAAACTTCCCTAAACAGGGCTGCCTTCAGGCGTCTTTTAAAGATAAGATAGCTGCTTATTTCCTTCACATCTGAAAGGATGGTATTCCACAGGGTGGGTGCCACTACCGAGAAGGCCCTCTGTCTGGTTCCCTGTAACCTCACTTGTCGCAATGAGTGAACCGCCAGAAGGCCCTCGGCGCTGGATCTCAGTGTCCCGGCTGAACGATGGGGGTGGAAACGCTCCTTCAGGTATACAGGACAGAGGCCATTTAGGGCTTTAAAGGTCAGCACCAACACTTTGAATTGTGCTCGGAAATGTACTGGGAGCCAATGCAGGACTGGTGTTATGTGGTCCCGGTGGCCACTCCCAGTCACCAGTCTAGCTGCCGCATTCTGGATTAATTGCAGTTTCTGGGTCACCTTCAAAGGTAACCCCACATAGAGTTCATTGCAGTAATCCAAGCAGGAGATAACTAGAGCATGCACCACTCTGGCGAGACAGTCCGCGGGCAGGTAGGGTCTCAGCCTGCATACCAGCTGGAGCTGGTAGACAGCTGCCCTGGACACAGAATTAACCTGCGCTTCCATGGACAGGAATCACTGCTAAAGAATCCCTGACAGGTGGCCATCCAACCTCTGTCTAGGAACTTTGGACAAGCCCTGTGAAAAGGAGGCCGTGCCAAGCTGCCCTTGACCCAGCCGCGCGACTTGGGCTTTTCCCCTCACCTTGCGGCGGCAGGTCAAAGCGGATGTGCCCGTCAAAATGCATGGCACCGTGGAAGCGTCCGTCACACGCTTCACACAAGTGGAGGGGGCTGTTGTGGTTCAGCTGCTGGCACTCGGCGTGGTGGCATACCTGGCAGAGGGAGGGGAGAGAGAAACAGCAAGGTCAAGCCGGGGGCTAACTCCAGGACCAAGGGGAGAGGCATCTCCCTGATGCAGGGTTTGGATTTCCAACATCCGTCACCTGCAGGCATGTTGGCAGCAGAGCTAAGGGGCCAGCGGTGATGTGAGCCAGAGTCCACAGCTGATTCCCTGCTCACTCTTTAAGGGCACCTTGCCCTCCCCTGATTGATGCTGCAAAAAGGCAAAGCCTTTTGCAAAATGATGGTTTTTTGCCTGTATACTTGCAAATGTAGGCCTTCTATACTGTATCAGAAGAAGCAAGCCAGCGTCATTCTCCTTCCTAGCCATTCCAGATTTCTCCAATTCATTTCCAACCAGGATCAGCCCAAATTAGTTTCTCTTTGATTCATTTATTTCTCCCCACCCCACGTTAATTTCAAGGTTTAAAGGCTTGAACATGGGTAAGCAAACTAAGGTCTGGGGGCCGGATCTGGCCCAATCGCCTTCTAAATCCGACCCGCAAACAGCGTGTTTTTACATGAGTGGAATGTGTCCTTTTATTTAAAATGCACCTCTGGGTTATTTGTGGGGCCTGCCTGGTGTTTTTACAGGAGTAAAATGTGTGCTTTTATTTCAAATGCATCTCTGGGTTATTTGTGGGGCATAGGAATTCGTTCATTTTCTTTTCTTCAAAATATAGCCCAGGCCCCCACAAGGTCTGATAGACAGTGGACCGGCTCCCTGCTGAAACAGTTTGCTGACCCCTGTGCTTGAATCAGGTGGGAGAGTGGCATGCACCACTTTCCAGCTGCAGGTGGGTTCTCCTTCTACATCATTCAGATAAATAGGTTACGGGTCTCACCGTTCTGCCTTCTCTTTCATTCCACTGCCTGTCACGGGATGGATCTCCCTATGGCTGCCTGCACATCTCCTCTGTGCAAACCCCCAAGCTGTTTTCGCTCCCTTGTTAGCTCACCGTTCGGAAAAAGCCGGCCTTTCACCCCCTGCCAGCCACATCCCAGCCCCTGTCACAGGAGGGGTACCTGAGTCCTTCGTGCCTGAAGTAACGTGCGCCACCCCACCCCCAGGGCTCACAGAGGAGGCTGCCGGTGGCCCTGGCCTACCAAAGCTCCTCCCCACACAGGCGCCGGAAGCAAGTGTCTGCAGCAGAACAATGCAAGAGCGGCTACAAGGTTTCCTCCGATTGTGAGGGACACCCTGGATGCCTGCGGCTGCTCAGCAACCCCAGAGAGCTATTTTTAAGCACACATCCGAGTCGGGCTGAGGGCTGCCTGGTGCCCTGTGACCTCACGTACAACAATGGCACAAGCACAGAAAAAGAGGACCTACTGGACCAGGTCAATGCCCCATCTAGTGCAGCATCCTGTTACCCCAGTGGCCAACCACTGGGATGCCATCAGGCAGGATCCGAGCAAAATAGCCCTCTCCCCTCCTGGGGATGCAAAAGCATCGCTGCCTCTGACAGGCTACGGCCTCCTCTGTCTCAGGTGTGCTTATATGAGAAATTGTGACCACAGTGCAGCAGGTAGGAATTGAATCCGGCACCTTAGGGAGCTGGAGATGTCAGGTTGATCCAGGAGGGGGCAGTGCAGCCCAGGCTACTGGAATTGCCTCTGCTGAAACCTAAAAACCAATATTTAAAAATGCTTAACATTTCTGTTCTCATCCCTGTTTTGAGGTGAAATGTCGGTGTCCCAGGCTAAAATCTGAGCGCTTTGGCCCTTCTTAGCAGTTCAAATATGAAACCTCAAAAGCTTTCAGCAAACTACTGGACACCATTGCATGTCAAATATCAAATATGCCATTGCAGGTCAGCTGTCAATTCAGTCGAATTCCTCAACACCAAGCCATGCCTACCTTCCCTACATTGGCAAATGTTGAAAGCAGCATTTGATTTATTGAAATAGGGAGAATATTCAGCAAATATTTGAAGGTTTGGCTAGAAATTGGCTAACCGTTTGTTTTTGTTTTGGTCTGTGAGCCAAACACTGCAGGGTCTGCCAGGTTTTGAAATTCAGATTTTTCACTGTCAACCCTGAATTTGAAATTCACCATTTGTATTTTGGACCTGAAGCTTATTATCAAAACTGAAGTGAAAGGCAATGATAGAACTTCTTCAGCTGCCCAACATTCAGTGCTACTGAACTACTACTGTGGCTTGACAAAAGACTAGGTCAACCTCCTTTCCAAAACCATGAGGACTACACTCTTACTTTATTTTAAAGACACTTGTTTTATTCTGCACCGAGGTAGCTATCGGATGCTGCCTGAAGCGTTGAATAATCTCTGTGTGATGAACAAGGATGCTGACCAGACAAAAGCCCACAGACTATTCGCCCTCAAAATCGACAAAGGCGAGCTTGAAAGAGACCCTCTGTCAGGGCACAATTATTTCAAATCCAGCATTTGGGAACCAGCCGGTTTCCTGTGGCTTGTCACCAAGAACAGTCAAGGGATAAGAAAGGCTCACTCAAACTTCATTTCGCTGCCAGTCTCTGATCACAGCCAAACTTCTGGAAGGAAATACCTTGCAGGGCCTCTCTTCCATCTGCCCAAACACAGTTTGGGCCACATCAGAGTTCAAGTTCCAGCCGCCCTCATGGGAAAGGCCATAGCTCAGCGTTAGGGTATCCGCTTCGCATGCAGAAGGTCCCAGGTTCGATCCCCGACACCAGCTCCAAGCAGAGCCAGGAATGTCCCCTGCCTGAAAACCCTGGAGAGCCATTGCTGCCAGTCAGTGAAGACAATATTGAGCAAGATGGACCAATGAATGGCCTGACTCAGTATATAAGGCATCTTCCTATGCGCCTAACTAATTTCATCCAAATGCTGTGCACCCCAAACTTTGTACTGCCAAGCTGCAATCACAGACGTTTTGCAGTATGCTATTCATGTCAGCCTGGATAGCTCAGTTGGTTAGAGTGCAGGGCTGGTAACACCAAGGTTGCAGGTTCAATCCCCATATGGGACAGCTGCATACTCCTGCATTGCAAGGGGGCTGGACTAGATGAGCCTCAGGGTCCCTTCCAATTCTACAATTCTGTGTTTCTATTTTGTCTCTATCCTGCCTCCTCTCCAAGAGCGATTCTCCCCCCTGTGCCTGCATTTTATCTTCGCAACAACCCTTTGAGTTAGGTTAGACTGGGAGAAGAGTGACTGGCTCAAAGTCACCTAGTAAGCTTCATGGCTGAGTAGGGATTTGAACTGGGGTCTCCTGGATTCTTCCCAGACTGTAAATAGTGCCCACACTTCTCCTTGGTTTTTTTCTTGCTCTGGAGGATAGGACCCAAACCAATGGATTTAAGTTACTGTACAAGAAAGGAAAGGGGACGCGGGTGGCACTGTGGGTTAAACCACAGAGCCTAGGACTTGCCGATCAGAAGGTTGGTGGTTTGAATCCCCGCGACAGGGTGAGCTCCCATTGCTCTGTCCCAGCTCCTGCCAACCTAGCAGTTCAAAAGCACATCAAAGTGCAAGTAGATAAATAGGTACCGCTCCAGCAGGAAGGTAAACGGTGTTTCTGTGCGCTGCTCCGGTTTGCCAGAAGCGGCTTAGTCATGCTGGCCACATGACCAGGAAGCTGTACACCGGCTCCCTCGGCCAATAAAGCGAGATGAGCGCCGCAACCCCAGAGTCGGTCATGACTGGACCTAATGGTCAGGGGTCCCTTTACCTTTACCTTTTACAAGAAAGGAAGAGCTTTCTGACAGTAAGAGCTGTTAGACAGCAAAACAGGCTCCCACGAGAGGTGATGGACTCTCCTTCCTGGGAAGTTTTTAAGTAGAGGTTGGATGGCCATCTGTCATGTATGATCCAGCTGAGATTCCTGCCTTGCAGGGGGTTGGACTAGATGACCCTCAGAGTCCCTTCCAACTCTACAACTCTATGATATCTGAAAAGGAGAAGTGCTATTTCATTGGAAGCCATACAGATTTCCATGCTCAGACATGATGGGCAAAATGTACTGCAATTGTGGTGCAGGCCAGACAATTCAGCCACTCCACAAAGCAAGAGCAGAGATCAGCGTTCAGTGACCTGAGTCCACCAGCATCCATCTTTTACCAACAACCTCAGGGTCCAGCCTTTGAGATACCCTCAAAAACAGGCGGGCAATTCCTTGACAAAATACGAAAAGTCAGAGGGGGTCTGAGGAGAATTTCCTACCAGAAGGCAGCCCAGGAAGTGGAAGGGAGACAGCAAAAACCACCTCGGGTCTTGGTCCTTCAAAGTACGGAAAGTAACTACAGTGGTACCTCAGGTTAAGTACTCAATTCGTTTTGGAGGTCCGTTCTTAACCTGAAACTGTTCTTAACCTGAAGCACCACTTTAGCTAATGGGGCCTCTTGCTGCCGCCGCGCCGCCGGAGCACGATTTCTGTTCTCATCCTGAAGTTCTTAACCTGAGGTAATATTTCTGGGTTAGTGGAGTCTGTAACCTGAAGCATATGTAACCTGAAGCGTATGTTACCCGAGGTACCACTGTAGACATATGCAAATGATCCTTATTTGCATCTTTAAGATGCAACTTTATTGCCTCGAATATTATCATTTCGGTGCCCTGTTGATACGTTTTTCACAAAAGGTTTCCCCAGAGCTGGAGTTACTGCCGCCATTTTAAAGCTCCCCAGCATAACCCGAAACAGGCAGCCGGATGTCTACCAGGTGCAGCGCCACGCTTCCTACAGAGCCGATGCGATGCCTGTCTGTCTTACCAGGTGCAACAGCCAGGCCACCCTCCCATCTCACTGTTCCTAGAGTGACACCCCTCAGACACAAACCAAGGCAGCCAGGCAGGCTCCTGGCTGAAAAGCCAGCAGGCCACATGGCAGCCTCCAAGTCCGAGCCTTGCTGAAAACGTCCACAGTCTCCTGCAAGGCTTTTCCTTCTCTGCACTCGAAGCTGAGAGGGAAGGAAAGGGCCACGGAGCCAGCAGCTGAAGCAACAGGAAGCCCCGGAGATATGGGGAGTCAGAATCAGCAGGTGGCTCAGA